CTTCTCCTGCGGTACGTGGAGCTCAGCCATTCATCTTTCTTTGGCGTTGACAACTGACCGGCAAACTGTTAGGAGCCAAAAGAGGACAGCCGACGGACTAGGCCCATCCTGAGTTCCGAGGTGCTGGCCGCCCTCAAGCACCACCCGCTGCCCCTGGCCCCGGTCTCGCTGGACTCGCTCGCCGACACGCCCAAGACCCACCTCCCTCGCACCCCACCACCCACCCCCTCCATCGAGCCCCTCGACCTCTACCCCGCCTCGACCGAGTCACAGGTGCGTTTCATGGGAAGTGTGTGTGTGTGTTGCCTGCGTCGTGCGTGTCGTGTCGTTCTGGAGATGCGCTGACACAGCTCATGTTCAGGCTGAGCCAATGGAGGAGGAGGAGCCCGCGCAGCCGTTCCTCTACAAGTCGAACGAGTCGATCCCTGTGCTCTACGAACCGGACACCACCGCCATCAAGAAGGAGGGGGAGTTCATCCAGCCTCAGGCCCACGAGTCTCGGGAGACCTCCGCCCCCACCGCCAGCATCTACGTGTAGACGCGCATGTGCCCTGCTGGGGCTGAGTGTAAATAGAAAACGTTTTAATTGTTATATTTTATTATTTACATTTCTTTTAAATTTTATTTTGCCACGGCTGGAGGGGTTCTAGTGAGGAAGTATGAGTAGTCGCCAGCCGGGCGACAGACCCAAGCGCGAGGAGGGACCGCCCCACCATGCCCTCCCGCCACCCAGCCTCACCGTCACAATGCTGGCATCCGCCACAGCAAGCATGCTGTACTCGCTCCCCCCCCCATGTTGAAGGGGCAGCTTTCACTTGACCTCCTACCGCCCTCTCTGCAGGTCACGAATACCGTGCCACCCGCTGGACACGGTCAAGGCCAAGCTGCAGGTTGGTGCCCTTGGCGGCCTGCGGGGCGTTCTACGCCACACCCTCAGCACCGAAGGCCTGCGGGGGCTCTACCGCGGTAGATGCCCCCACACCTATAGATATACAATGGAAGCAGCCGGCCTGGTGCTCACGTCCGCGTGCGTGTGCGATGTGTGGCATTTGCCTTGTGCCGTGTCGTGTCGTGCGGTGTGCAAGGCTTTGGAGCGGCATTTGTGGGGAGCGGACCAGCGGGGTGCCTGTACTTCACCACCTACGAGCTCGCCAAGAAGGGCCTGCTTTCGGTGGGGCCGGTGGGGCAGAGCCCCTTCCTGGCCCACTTCGGCGCGGGACTGCTCGCCGAGCTCGTCTCCTGCGCTCTCTGGGTTCCCATCGGTACGCCGCACAGCCTTCGCCAGGTCCAGGCACCAGGGGTCAACCAACTGACCCCAACCACCCAAAACCCGCACACGCGTGTGTGGTTCCTGTTCCTGTTCGTGTTAACACCACTGGTGGTTTGCGTTGCGTCGCTTGGCGAATACGCAAGACGTGGTCAAGGAGCGAATGCAGGTGCAGTCCACCCTGGCCGCGGGCAAGCCATCCTACGCCTATACGGGCGACCTCCATGCGG